TCCCTATTTACCTTCTCGCCATTTATTTTCTGTGCTAAATACGCTTAATTATTTTCTTATTCACGTCACATATCGCCACGATTACTCAATACTCGTTTTTTAACAAACCATAGGGAAGACTAGTCAAGTATTGAGCTGGTAAGTGATCGCTTGACTGATTGATATGGTGACATATAGGCAAAGTGTTAATGTTACAAATGTTTTGATTATTTTTTAGTATTTATATAGTAGTCACTTGCAGTTCCCTTGAAAATTCTGAATATTGGCTCCAGCTCATCGGCACGGGCGTTGGCCGGCATTGGCGGTTACCGCAGACGCTGACAACAGAATTGGCAGAAATTCTAGCAAATTGTCAGCTGCGTTTGATATAAATACATATCTACGTAAACAAATGAGCATGATTTTAATATATATATATATATATATTTTTAATTTTGAGGATACGCTGTGAATTTTTAATTGCTGTAATGATTAGTGTATCAACTCAAGCAAGTGACCAACATCGAAAAGCCAACAATGGCTAAAAAAGGGTTACAAATTAAAAAAAAAAAATTATATTTTCTGTGAAAATTTTCACATATAAATTGCGTGAAGCTTAGTAGAATTGTCATCAGTTGTTTTAGAACAGCTTACAGTAGTCAATCCTACAGATACAATAACACACAATACGCGTTCAAAAATGTTTAAATTCGTAAGTAAAAAAATTTTATATTTTTAATTTTCAAAATTTTTTCAATTTATCCCCTTCAATTCTTTTGCAGCTGGCCATCTGCTTGTTCGCCATGTTCGCTTGCGCCGCCGCCAAGCCAGCTGTAGTCGCCGCACCAGTGGCCTACACCGCCGCTTATACTTCACCTTATGTGGCTGCCTCGCCATACACCGCCGCCTACACAGCCGCTTATACTTCACCTTACGCCGCCTACACGTATCCTTATGCTTCTGCCTACAGCTATCCATATGCTACTGCTTTCCTGCGTTAATGTTTAAACAGACGTTTAACAGTGGCTTTACTTAAGGAATATATGCGATGACACATTTTTATGGACTTGATTAGCTTTGTTTTGTTATACATATGTATTGTTGCTTTGTTTTTATAACTTATACTTTTTTCGGCTTTATCTGTACTATTTTGTAAGTTGTCTTCTTAATTCTACGCGTCCCTTCAATGTTTCCATGCAAAATAAAATGAATATAAAAAACTAAAAAAAAAAAGAAATAAATAAATAAAAGCTTTAATTCATAAAATAAAAAAATGTTTGATTCTTTTAATTTATTTTATTTTATACATACATACATATAGCAGAAAAAGTCAGGATCATTCAAAGTTCTGGTCAAGGAAAATAATTCTATAGTCTTAAATAACAAAATGCCAAGTTCTGCAGCCAAGTAAAACATACGGTTCTATCTTATAATTTTTTTTTTTTGATTTGCTTAAAATGTATTAAAAACAAGGTGCATATCTCAGGATATCCTTTCAAGAAGCTTCATACCAAAAGAAGTGACAAGGAATTATGGCGTCTCCTTTCTACAAAAAATGTTGCCTTTTCATTGCCCTCTCCTTAGTATTTATGCGTTACAAGTCTTTCATGTCTACTCCAGATAGATGACTCACTAGATTCTGGTGCTGCCTGAAATTAAATTTGCAGAACGTTGTCCCCAACGCAAATGCTCTTAGCGAGGATCATTACCTATTTTCGATATAGCAGTTGACATGAAAATTGGAGGTAGAGCGGAGACGCTTGAACCGGGGATGTAACATTGTAGCTGTTGAGAGAAAAGTTTTTTTTTTTGAAAGGATACCATTTTTCGTAGATTTTTTTGAGTAAAGCCTCTTTAAGAGTTTCTCCTGAATTAGTCTATGGAGTTGATTGATCCGTCATTTGGCTAAGTAAATTTGAAACAGGAGTTACTAAGCTTGACGTCACATAATTTGCCCCACTTATCTCTTCAGCAGCTTCTTTTAAGAGGCCAAGAAGAGATTTATTTTGTTGCATTCACAAACTAGAAAGCTACGTTAAGGTCACAGAGATCTGAAAAAATATCGAATTTGATACACATTTGATAGTCGGAAATAAATACCGAATATTGATATTATTATTTTCTGAAAAATATCGATGCTTTGATATATAGATATTTTTTACCAAGCCTAACTCAAGAGTGACTTAATATATATCAATCGTGATAATGCCGCAAAGCGTGGCCCCACACTTAAACCAGTCAACTTCTGGAAACCATACAGCTTCGATAACGTGGCGATACTGTTTGAAGTAAACTGCCCATATAAATGTTATCAATGTTGACTTAGAATCCATCATTGACAACATTACAGCAGCTTAGGGCTTAAGCCATTTCGGTACAGTTCAACATAGCATGCCAGTCGCTTCTGTTCTGTGCCAACTGACACCAATGGAAAATTCCAAGTCAAGCCAAGTAATTCTCTACCTCATCTCTCCAACGCAGCCGAGGTATTCCTCCTCCTCTGCCACCAACAGCGGGTACCGCATCGAATTTTAGGCTCTGCTGCTGCTACATACTTGCTTTGATTGCGACGAAGAACTACCAGTGGCAGATGATTGGATATTCATATACTGAAATGATTCAAAGGTGGAGGAGGTAACTGACGCTATCTCTACGCGGAGTACCTAGAGAATAGTCAGGTTACCAGCTCGAAAAGTCGCTCTATTCATTCCCTGATAGCCAAGTGGATTTGAAAGCAGTAGGGTCCAAAGTATTGAAATCGGGGATTTTACGAATATGTCGCGCTGCGTTGGCATCACTGGGTCATCTCAATGTTACGCTTTGCTGGGTTCCGGGACATTCAAATATCTAAGGAAAGGAGAGAGCTGCTAAGTGGCTAATTACACTGTTCGGCAGTAAGCGTTCCTTTTATAAGTTTCCAGTTCTTTTACTTATTTTTTCGGTTATTCTGAGATAATTTTGCGCTTCTTTCGGAACCGTTTTTCGGGTATTTTGGAATCGAGACTCGGTTCTTCCGGAACCCGTTTCCAGTTCTTTTGGAATCGAGTTTCGATTTTTCCGGAACCGTTTTTCGCTGCTTCTTTTGGAACCGAGTTTCGGTTACGTTAGACCCGTTTTTTTGGTTCATGTAAGAACTGCACTGGTCGGTTCTTTAAAAGACTCGGTTCCCCGGTTCCTCGGTGCAATTAATAATTAAGGATAGTCTGGGTTGCACTATTTTCAGGGCGTTCTATATCCTTCTCAGACGCCATGATAGTTCTAACTCGACCTGTTTAAACTCAACAACCTGGTGATGGTTTCTGGAACACAAGGTTTTGATATGTCCCCCGCAACTGTTTATATATATATTCGCAGATAGCGACTTTATAATCCCCATGGAGGCTAGCTTAGGAAAATAATCTTGTAATTTACGAAGGTGATTTCAAAGAGCGACTCGTTTACTTAGGAAACGAAACCACAATTTTCCTATAATTCGTCACGTCACTCAGAGAAATTCCAATTTTTTCGGATCAATTTATGTATTTTTTATTATTTTCACGCTTTTAGGGGCACTTCGCTTTTAACAATCCAACGTAAAATTTAGAACTTTACTTTTTCACCACAGGAATAGCGGCAGCAGCTACAGCTGGGGCAACGGCAGGAGCAGCGGCTACGAGCGGAGCTGGAGCAGCAGCAACTAACGGCGCCGCAGGAGCTACAAATCGTGCTGATGGTAAAACAGCTGGAGCAGCATATGAGGCTACATATGGAGCAGCAGCAGCATAAGCGGCGGGGAAGGCAGCAGAGTGAGCGACGCCATGAGCGGTAAAGCTGCTGGCGTAGGGAGCAATGTAAGGCGCATAGCCGGCGGTGTAGGCGGCGGCCACTGGGGCGGCATAGGCGGCAGGGAAAGGCGCAGCTGCCAATGGAGCAGAATACGCCAGGGCGGCAGGCGAGGCCAGGAGTGCTGGCTTAGCAGCACCGAAGACGACGGCGAAGAGCGCAACAAAGCAGGCAGTGAACTGAAAAGAGTAACGAAATACAGGTCCTTAGCTTTGATAGTTTGCAAGCAGCGAAATCCTTGTTTATACTTACCAGCTTGAACATTTTTTTAGAGGGTTTTGTAGAAATATTCCTTTGGTAAAAACTTAAGGTTGTGCGCTTGCGGTGCGTCTGCAGACGAATATACTGAAGAGTGCTGCCATGATTGGGCCTTTTATATACGGAGCACGAGATCTTGCACAAATTTGGCAAATGAGCCAATAAAATACCAAATATGTACATAAATACAAATTGCGATATTTGCAAAATTCCTTCTGATTTTTTTTCCCCAGTTGACAGTTGCATGTTCAAAAATTATTTTGCCACCATACGAATTCCTACAAAATTTTTTGGCATTTATTTAGCTGATATCGCAGCGGTAAATTCCCCAAAATTCCGGTGTGCAAATAAATGGCAGAAGCTTAAAATGCAATGGAATTCGAAGAAAATCACGTACTTAGGCTACGCAATTTGTTGTTGGCGTTGATATTCACGGCCAACAGTGGCGACGTCGAGCACAAGTATTGTAGGTAGTTGGTACTGCCAGTCGCGCATGCGCTAATCAAATTTTTATGCAAAACAGTTTTTGCGCTAGAAATCCTTATTTGTTGCTATTGCACTCGTATTTTTTGGCCTTTTAAGTACTTGACGCTTTGACTTAGCTCTCGCGTTTAGTAAAATGTAGTATAAATTATGTTTGTACGCCAGTCACGTGACCCCGCTGTTTAGCCTCAGCAACAGCTGATTTATTTATTTTAATTTTTTTTTGTAAATTTTGTTTTCATTTGGCGGCTTCTTTAACTGGTTCTTCCTCGAAATGGAACCTATAAATATTTGCACGTTTAAAACTGGAGCATTTTTTTATGATAAAATTTAAATTTTTTTTGCAAGCCGCTGGTGTTAATATAATCAATTTGATTAGATTCTTTAAATTGTGGAAGATGGCATTCTTCAAGAGCGTTCGGATGCGATTTTTCGAAAAAGATAATACATTATACATAAATGCTATATACATATATACTTAGTAGAGCATACCAGAAACAAGTTCGCCGTAACCAGGGTTGCCACTTTGGTTAATTGTTGCCAAAATTGGTAGAAAAAATTTGGGTTGGTAAAAAGGTAAATTCTTTCTCATTTTGGGAGATTTTTGTTGAATTATTTTGTTTGAAAAACAAATACAACTGTCGTTCCCGCTGTATTTTTCGTAGTTATCATTATATTAAAAATTTCTTTCCAAAAGTGTAGTCTACGTTTTTGAACTAATTTTCGAGCGCTTTAAATATTTTCAATGATTATTTAAATAAAAAGCAAAAGTGTACAGGTATATATGTGATTGTTCGTAAAAGAAAGGCGGCAAAAAAAAAAAAAAAAATCAACGGGAATTTTTTAGCTGCATATTGTTATACCCAAATACTACTCCATGCCTTAAATTGTTATAAAAATTTAGAGTGAAAAGTTCGAAATTTAGACGAACATTTTTTGAATTTTTCTAAATGTTGTATTTAGCTTGAATTCGTAATTTTTATGGGTTTGGTTAAAGCGCACACAATATTCTTACACAAAATAAAATACCAAACAAATTTTCACTTGAAAAACATTCTGAATATAAAAAATTCTCCAATCGTTTTTGAGTCACTGTATTTGTCTATAATAACTCCAGTTGAAGTTTTTTTAAATGATGAAGTTTCGTTGTTACCTTTAGTTACATCACTTTCGCTTTTGGTTGAAGGTATAATTAGTTAAATTAAAAGCTGCTTAAAAAAAAATTTAAATTTTTATTAAAATAACTAAAAAAAGTTTCCCAGATTTGGTAGATTTTTTCCAAATGGAAGGTAAGTATTTTTTTTCGTCAGTGACAACCCTGGCCCTGAAATGTTTTCGAAATTTTTTTTGTCCGAACTTTTTTACCATTTCTTCGGCATTTACTGGCGAATCTTAAAGTAAGATGTATCGATATTCTTGTCTTGATGAGACAATATTTTGTTTTCAGTTCCTACCACCCTAATGTCTGCAAATCAAAGTTCTCCAAAAATCATTAAAACTTTGCAAAGCAAGTTTTTGATTATTATTCGATTTTTAATTTACCGCCAAATGTAGGTGGCACGAAAAAGTATATATATATTTTTTTAATTGCCTTGCAAAGATACTTTTGACTCAGGATTGTACGATAAACTTGTTTTGTTGCTTGAAAGGCGGTGCGGTCTAATGTAAATATTAAAAAAAATAAACAACTAAAAGAAATTTTTTTTTGTGTAGATAAGTTTAAAGTAAAATATTTTTTTTTGTAAACTATAGAGGATATTTGAAAAAAAAAAATCCAAACATATCACAAAAATGGATCTAAGATTTACGTCGCCATCCAAGCGCAGATGGTTTTCTATGAAAAAATACACTCAGTGCCTTTGTCTGTCTAGGGGCGATCGATATTAGATAACAAAAAAAAACTTTTTGGATGTTGGGCGAACCATGTTTCTACCGTATGATAGAGCTTACCGCTAAGTACCCGGCCACAGCGGCCGCTTACTTACACTTGGCATTGCAGTATGCATCCGAGATGGAAAACTAAATTTTCAAGTAGTACCTACTTATTAGGCTCAAAATCGATCTGCGATAAACATTTTGGCTTCGTCTTATTTTAACATACATACATATGTAGATTCTTTAGAAATAAAATTTGTACGAGTATTCAATGTCTGCACTCTAAATTTTTGAATTTCGTAAAAAGTTGAAATTTTTTCTTCTTAAATTTTTGCAGAAAAATAAACTCCCTTTCTTCGAATAGTTCATTGCAAATAGCGGTAAAAAAATAACAGATACCTTAAAGCAGCATAGAACAAAAATTCTAGAAATCACAATTTTCGTTTTGGCAGAGCAACTCTTTCGGAATTTTTTTTCGCTTTTTCTTAAAGATTTAACCGAATATCCTTTAGCGATATATGGACGATTTTTGATATGTTGCTTATATGACCAATGTTGGGTATCTGGTAAACCTTCAAGACCTTGGCCCCACACAGAGCCACCACATTGAAAATTTTAACTTTCAAAGCAAGAAACGCTTCAAAATGTTTGGCTACTTAAATTTGTGAGCCAAATTGACGTGGAATACCCCATATACGTATGAATACATCAGAATCAAATTATATATTATATGAATAAGACTTTTAAAAAAGCTAAAAGCTCTCTACTTATTTTAAATACAAATTGAAGGCAAAGCAAAAAAAAAATAAGTTTCGCTTATTTGGTAACAGAAAACCTAATTTGTATGCAAAGTTCACGCGCGAGACTGAAACAATGCGTTTTTTCGCTTATTAAGTGATTTTCGTATAAAAACTTCGTGTCTGTTAACAATTGATATCACAATTCGCAAACCTCTTCATTAGTAAAGAACTATTATCTTCCACAAAAACTAAAAAAATTCAAAATGTTCAAATTGGTAAGTTTAACGAGTCTGATGGCATTTACATACAAATTTTAATTAGTTACAGACGAATAAGTATTAAAAGAAAAATCTTTTCTTCTTTCCTACAGTTCGCTGCCTGCTTCCTTGCTATCTTCGCTGTTGCCTTCGGTGCTCCTAAGCCCGCCCTGTTGGCTGCACCAGCTGCTTTTGCCTACACCGCCCCAGTAGC